TTGTCACATTATTAATAAATTATTAATAAATAATAAATTAATTATTAAGAATCTTTTTATTAATAAGCTGCTAAACAGCTAAACGCAACAAATCTTTCTGGCTTCTCTTTTGCTCAAAGAATGGAAGAATCTGGGTGGAAAAATGTGGTTCAGGAAGGCAGCTTCAGATTGATTGGTGATTGATCGATTGATTGATGTTTAGGTGTCCCATGGGAAGATCTGAATAACAGGTTGGGAACAGAGCATCCTAGAGAAAATCTATGTAGTCACTAAGAGTTGATTCTGACTTGATATGATCACTCAATCTGCCTTAAAGTTAACAGAATCACAGAATAACAGAGTTGGAAGCAGTGGCGGAAGTCAAACTTTTTTACTACCAGTTCTGTGGGCGTGGCTTGGTGGGCGTGGTCTGGTGTGGCTAGGTGAGCGTGGCTTGGTGGGCATAGCAGGTGAAGGATATTGAAAAATGTCCATTCCCACCCCAGTCTGGGGGGAAGGATACTGCAAAATCCCCATTCCTTTCCCAACCCCACTAACCTGCTTTCCAGCTCCGTTCTCCTGTGCAGGGCAACCAAGGAAGACCCAGCCAATCAGCTGGGACTCGGGAGGCAGAGAATAGGTGGGGGCGGGGCCAGTCAGAGGTGGGATTTGCCGGTTCTCCGAACTACTCACAGTTTCCCCTACCGGTTCTCCAGAACTGGTCAGAATCCTGCTGAATCCCACCTCTGGTTGGAAGGGACCTTGGAGGTCTTGTAGTATTCTATATTACTTCAAATGCAACAGATTTGTTTGTTACTTTGAGGTAATGTCAAGATAGATGTTTAGCTTGCTTTGGAAGTCTGCTAAATAGGGATCCGTTAAATTGTGGTTTCTTTCTAAAATAACTCCTCCCATTATCATCAATTAATTTTGCTTTGAATGCCAAACAACGATCATTTGTGGATTTCAAACAGAATTATATCTGGGTGTCAGTGGGTCAGTTATGATGCGTTTAAGTGGAAATGAGTAAAAGCAAATCTGTTTGCAAATGCCAGCAGAGGGAGCTGTAAGATCTGAATTGTCTGAAGATGCCTGTCTTTATGGTGAAAAGGCTGTTTAAAAAAAGCAGCCACTGACAACATTCAGGGTCATTTACACTTCTTCAATTTTAAATCCTACTCAGAATTGCAAAGGTCCTTCCTTTATAATATTTTAGGTGGGCTCTAATAACGCTGCTGCGAGTTAGAGCTGCTTGGGTTAACTGATGTTCTTTTAATTGTCTCGGATGGGTTGGGTTGTTGCGCATTTTGTTAAAAGCGAAGATTTGCAAACATTCATCAGTTGCCAAGTATAAACGTAAAAATTCACAGGCTTCTGTGGATCAGTTGAACTATCTTTTCGCTTATTTTGAGTCCAATTGTTAGCAGTCCAATGGGCTTTGGCCAGGCTTTCTTTTTAAACTCGGAAAAGAAAAATAAGCTCTTATTTTGGGTATTGGTTGCGTCTTAGCTCCTTTGTGTGCCTTTCCTTTGTTGTTATTTTTTTCTTTCTCCTTTTTCTTATTATTTTTCATTCTTGTTCTGATCTGGGATCACAGTAATCAATGAACAGATGGCCACACTTATTACCCATCTGCAGGAGTGGGATGCAAATATTTTTACTACTGGTTCTGTGGGCGTGGCTAGGCGGGAGTGGCCAGGTGGGCATGGCCATGTGACTGGGTGGGCGTGGCTTCTTCTTTTTTGTGCAACACCGCCCTCTCCCTCTCCATTGTGGTGTTTTTTTTGCCTCCTGGGCCTCAGGGAAACCTCCTTGGGGGCGTTTTTGCTCCCAGGAGGCTTCCCTGAGGCCCAGGAAGGCAAAAAACGGAGGGCGGAGGGTGGCCATACAGCACACACACACCCACGTGTCTCTTTTTGCCTCCTGGGCCTCAAGGAAGCTTTCTGGGCGAAGCAGTAAGACAGCGAGGGGGATCTCAGCACAGCTGATCATTGGAACAGCTGATTGTCGGGTGAGAAAAAGAACAAAAAGAAATATCAGCTATTTTTTTTTTACTACCGGTTTGGCTGAACAGTAACATTTTTTACTACCAGTTCACCCGAACCAGCCCGAACTGGTAGAATCCCATCACTGCCCATCTGTTTTGGTTAGGGACAGTGATGATGGTAGCAATATGCTTGTTCGTTTTTGGACCCTGTAGTTCAAAGTTACACAGACTCCCCCCCCCCTCCAAAAAAAATGGTATTTACAACCTAAGTATCAAGCCTGACATTGACCTATGTGTAGCCATTTTAGTTAGGCTTAGTTTATATTCTTTTTCTTACTTTCTCTTTGGCAGTTATGGGAGAAGGGTTTCGGGCTTGCCACATTTCTAAGGGGGGAGGAGTGGAGATAGAGAGAGTTGTTTAGGCGAGGTGATTCTTCTTCCCGTGGGAAAACGAGCTGTCTTCTTCTTACATCTTACTTCTATTGGAGTATGTGACTTTTGGGGGTTGTTTCTAACTTCTAATATTGTGGGGTAATTCCGGGTTGTGTCAAGATTCGGAATTACCATGGACTTTGCCAATGTGATGCTTTCCTAAATAAAAGAAATTGCCTTGGAAGATGGATTTGGTTCTTTTCTTTTTAAATGGATTTCATCACTTGGAAGCCTGACATTAAGGAGAAGAAATGGCAAAACCTAGGGGTGGAGTTAAAAGAGGGAGCAGCCTAGAATCCCTATGTAGCCACAAGCGTCAGTCCGTAGGAATTCTAGATTGATCTTTCTTTTAACTTCACCCCCAAGTTCTATGACTTCTTCCCCTATTGGCTTTCAAGCTCAAAGGACCACCTCTTCCTGTTGTCATGTGATTGCATTTTGG